CTAGTATGCCCGGGGGCACGGGTGGCCCAGTCGTCTAAGGCGCCGCGATTCGCTGTGCAGAGTTGCGTCCCTTTGGCACGCCAGAAACCTATGATTGTGGGTTCGAATTCCGGTTCGCCCCGATTATGTTTCTAGGTTTGTCAGCACCATACCCGTGCTCGTGGGTTTCACCGAAGTGGTAAACGTCTGAGAACTGCATCACTTCGGGCTTTCCTCCCACATTGAGCTGACAGGCCGTGATATAACTGGAATACTGTTAAAAGCGGCGTTAAACCCAACTCACTCACTCACTCACCCTAGTATGCCCTGGTATGATCTTAACACGGAGATTACAATCGACCCATACGACGGGCAATGACCCCGAACAAAGCAAGCTGAAGATACATGTGGTAAGCAAGGTCAATTTGTGTTCACTAGGATGGGTCGTAGTGAGGATATTCATGAACGGGCATCCAATCAAACTCTCTGACTTTTCCCATGTATGCTAAAACGCCAAGTTCAAGATAAATGAGTCTAAATTATCAGAAACAATGCTTCTGTTTGTATTCGTGTGAGAGAATTCAGTTATCTTCCTCCATGTCCCTAGATGTTTTGTTTATCTTCTTCCATGTCCCTAGATGTATTCTTTATCTTCCGCCATGTCCCTAGATGTATTGTTTATCTTCCTCCGTGTCCCTAGATGTATTGTAAATCTTCTTCCACGTCCCTAGATATCTTTTTATCCTCCCATGTCCCTAGATATATTCTTTATCTTCCTCCATGTCCCTAGATATATTGCTTATCTTCCTCTATGTCCCTAGATATATTGTTTATCTTCCCTTGACCCTAGATATATTGTTTATCTTCACACATATCCGTAGATATATTGTTTATCTTCCCCAATATCCCTAGATATATTGTTTATCTTCCCCCATGTCCCTAGATGTATTGTTAATCTTCCCCATGTCTCTAGATGTATTGTTAATCTTCCCCATGTCTCTAGATGTATTGTTTATCTTCTTCATAGTCCTAAGATGTATTGTTTATCTTCCCCCATATCCCTAGATGTATTTTTTATCTTCCCCCATGTCCCTAGATGTATTGTTTATCTTCCCCCATGTCCCTAGATGTATTGTTTATCTTCCCCCATGTCCCTAGATATATTGTTTATCTTCCCCCATATCCCTAGATGTATTGTTTATCTTCTTCCATGTCCTTAGATGTATTATTTATCTTCCCCCATATCCCTAGATATATTGTTTATCTTCCCGATGTCCCTAGATGTATTGTTTATCTTCCCGATGTCCCTAGATATATTGTTTATCTTCCCTATGTCCTTATATATATTGTTTATCTTCCCCCATGTCCCTAGATATATTGTTTATCTTCCCGATGCCCCTAGATGTATTGTTTATCTTCCCCCATATCCCTAGATATATTGTTTATCTTCCCCCATATCCCTAGATATATTGTTTATCTTCCCCCATATCCCTAGATATATTGTTTATCTTCTTCCATGTCCTTAGATGTATTATTTATCTCCCCCCCCCCCCCCCCCCCCCCCTCCGTACATGTATCAGTTATCCTCCGCCTTGTCCCTAGATGTATTGTTTATCTTCCCTCATATCCCTAGATGTATTGTTTATCTTCTCCCATGTCCCTAAAGATATTGTTTATCTTCCTCCCTATCACAAGATGTATTTTTTATCTTCCCCCATATCCCTAGAGATATTGTTTATCTTCCTCCCTATCACAAGATGTATTTTTTATCTTCCCCCATATCCCTAGAGATATTGTTTATCTTCCTCCCTATCACAAGATGTATTTTTTATCTTCCCCCATATCCCTAGATGTATTGTTTATCTTCCCCCATATCCCTAGAGATATTGTTTATCTTTCTCCATATCATTACATTTATTGTTTATCTTCTTCCATGTCCTTAGATGTATCAGTTATCTTCCCCCATATCCCTAGATGTATTGTTTATCTTCTCCCATATCCCTTAAGATATTGTATATCTTCCTCCCTATCACAAGATGTATTTTTTATCTTCCCCCATATCCCTAGAGATATTGTTTATCTTTCTCCATATCATTACATTTATTGTTTATCTTCTTCCATGTCCTAAGATGTATCCGTTATCTCCCCCAATATCCCTAGATGTATTGTTTGACTTCCCCCATATCTCTAGATGTATTGTTTATCTTCCCCCATGTCCTTAGATGTATTGTTTATCTTCCCGATGTCCCTAGATGTATTGTTTATCTTCCCCCACATCCCTAGATATATTGTTTATCTTCCCCCATATCCCTAGATATATTGTTTATCTTCTTCCATGTCCTTAGATGTATTATTTATCTCCCCCCCCCCCCCCCCCCCCCTCCGTACATGTATCAGTTATCCTCCGCCTTGTCCCTAGATGTATTGTTTATCTTCCCTCATATCCCTAGATGTATTGTTTATCTTCTCCCATGTCCCTAAAGATATTGTTTATCTTCCTCCCTATCACAAGATGTATTTTTTATCTTCCCCCATATTCCTAGAGATATTGTTTATCTTCCTCCCTATCACAAGATGTATTTTTTATCTTACCCTGTATCCCTAGAGATATTGTTTATCTTCCTCCCTATCACAAGATGTATTTTTTATCTTCCCCCATATCCCTAGAGATATTGTTTATCTTCCCTCATATCCCTAGATGTATTGTTTATCTTCTCCCATGTCCCTAAAGATATTGTTTATCTTCCTCCCTATCACAAGATGTATTTTTTATCTTCCCCCATATTCCTAGAGATATTGTTTATCTTCCCCCATATCCCTAGATGTATTGTTTATCTTCCCCCATATCCCTAGAGATATTGTTTATCTTCCTCCATATCATTACATTTATTGTTTATCTTCTTCCATGTCCTTAGATGTATCAGTTATCTTCCCCCATATCCCTAGATGTATTGTTTATCTTCCCCCATATCCCTAGAGATATTGTTTATCTTTCTCCATATCATTACATTTATTGTTTATTTTCTTCCATGTCCTAAGATGTATCAGTTATCTTCCCCCATATCCCTAGATGTATTGTTTATCTTCCCCCATATCTCTAGAGATATCAACTATCTTCCTCCATGTCCTTAGATGTATCAGTCATCTTCCTCCATGTCCACAGATGTATTGTTTATCTTCCTCCATGTCCTTAGATGTATCAACTATCTTCCTCCATGTCCTTAGATGTATCAGTTATCTTCCTCCTTGTCCCCAGATGTATTGTTTATCTTCCTTATTGTCCTTAAATGTATCAGCTATCTTCTTCCATGTCCCTAGATGTATTGTTTATCTTCCTCCTTGTCCGTAGATGTATCAGTTATCTTCCTCCTTGTCCTTAGATGTATCAGTTATCTTCTTCCATGTCCCTAGATATATCAACTATCTTCCTCCATGTCCTTAGATGTATCAGTTATCTTCCTCCATGTCCACAGATGTATTGTTTATCTTCCTCCATGTCCTTAGATGTATCAACTATCTTCCCCCATGTCCTTAGATGTATCAGTTATCTTCCTCCTTGTCCCCAGATGTATTGTTTATCTTCCTTATTGTCCTTAAATGTATCAGCTATCTTCTTCCATGTCCCTAGATGTATTGTTTATCTTCCTCCTTGTCCGTAGATGTATCAGTTATCTTCCTCCTTGTCCGTAGATGTATCAGTTATCTTCTTCCATGTCCGTAGATGTATCAACTATCTTCCTCCATGTCCCTAGATGTATCAGTTATCTTCTTCCATGTCCCTAGATGTATCAACTATCTTCCTCCATGTCCTTAGAGGTATCAGTTATCTTCCTCCATGTCCACAGATGTATTGTTTATCTTCCTCCATGTCCTTAGATGTATCAACTATCTTCCTCCTTGTCCTCAGATGTATCAGTAATCTTCTTCCATGTCCCTAGATGTATCAACTATCTTCCTCCATGTCCCTAGATGTATCAACTATCTTCCTCCATGTCCTTAGATGTATCAGTTATCTTCCTCCATGTCGACAGTTGTATTGTTTATCTTCCTCCATGTCCTTAGATGTATCAACTATCTTCCTCCATGTCCTTAGATGTATCGGTTATCTACTTCCATGTCCCTAGATGTATTTTTTATCTTCCTCCATGTCCCTAGATGTATCAACTATCTTCCTCCATGTCCTTAGATGTATCAGTTATCTTCCTCCTTGTCCCCAGATGTATTGTTTATCTTCCTCCATGTCCTTAGATGTATCAACTATCTTCCTCCATGTCCTTAGACGTATCAGTTATCTTCTTCCATGTCCCTAGATGTATTTTTTATCTTCCTCCATGTCCCTAGATGTATCAACTATCTTCCTCCATGTCCTTAGATGTATCAGTTATCTTCCTCCTTGTCCCCAGATGTATTGTTTATCTTCCTCCATGTCCTTAGATGTATCAGTTATCTTCCTTCTTGTCCCTAGATGTATTGTTTATCTTCCTCCATGTCCACAGATGTATTGTTTATCTTCTTCAATGTCCCTAGATGTATTGTTTATCTTCCCCCTTGTCCCTAGATGTATCAGTTATCTTCCTCCTTGTCCTTAGATGTATCAACTATCGTCTTCCATGTCCTTAGATGTATCAACTATCTTCTTCCATGTCCCTAGATGTATCAACTATCTTCCTCTAGGTCCTCAGATGTATCAACTATCTTCTTCCATGTCCCTAGATGTATCAGTTGTCTTCCTCCATGTCCCTAAATGTATCAGTTGTCTTCCTCCATGTCCCTAAATGTATCAGTTGTCTTCCTCCGTGGAATATGTAAAATTCATATTAACCTTTTCTATGACGAAATAATAAGGCTTGTTGATGATTATGGTGACAACTATGTCTGCATATATGCGATGGTAGTTATAAATATGATTTCAGTCATGCACCACTTTTTTCTTGTTGCATATTCAAGTTAAAAAAAAACTAAAAAAATTGTTCCGACATAAGTCGTATTTCACAGGGGACTATTTAAGATTACACCGTCGCGCTCGTCACGTAACAGATTGCAACACAAGGTCAATTGAACACAAGTTTGTAAGTATGAACTAGATTTCTCGTTTGTGAGCTTTTTTGGATAGATTTTGAACATATTTCAATGTTTTATATAATGACTCTGTCTAGATTGATAGCGACCATGGCAATAAGGCTCGGTTCAGTCACCTACATCCCACCGACACGGAGACGCCGTACAGTGACACTGTGACACGTCTCGGGGTCAGTGGAATGTCCGAACAGCTGTGTCGGCTGTTGTGTGGGGATATATATATTTCTAAGCATGGGATGCAGAAGTGGTCTTAAATTGATTTTGGGCAATTAAGTGTGTGTCTGGACGCAGTATACTGACTCCGAGCCTACCAGTCCTTCTTTTAGCCCCTTAATGCCGAGCGTCTGGCAGCGTAACAACAAGTACCAACTTTTTACGTCTTTCAGTATGACGTGGTTACGCGATCTAACTATCGACCTGCCACTCTCTGGGCGGGCGCTCTACCACTAGACCACGGAGAGGCTCCATAGCTAAATGTGTTAGTAATATTACCAAGTATCGAGGTCACTTTTGTTTAGGTGCAACCTTTGCGGTTAGAAGAGTGTTACTTCTTGGTTAATGTTACTTCTAAAGTTACTTCCGGGTGTATCGCTGGCGTATAATTGTTACTTATTGGTTGGGTCCCCGTCTCCACCTTATTGATCGTGAGGGGATCATTATACAGTAAACTACGGTTATAACGAACTGAAAGGGGGCACTCATTTTAGTTCGTTATAACCGTAGTTCGTTATAAGTATATATATATATATAGCATATATACAGCAGTGGCCGGGACTAAAAATTAAGTTCGTCATATCCGTCATTTCGGTTTAAGCATGTTCGTTATAAACGTAGCTTACTGTACATAAGTGATACGTCTTTCTGTAACTCATGTCTTCATCACACGGAGAGCGGAAGGCGTCGACCAAGACTGTGACCTGGGGTCCCGGGACCGTGAACCCCGAGTCCCGTGAGTCTTCCGCCACCCCAGCCGTGTCTCTCCCATACCAGTACAAACATACAGTTTTATACATGATAATGATGCATTTACGTACGTACTACATTCTGATTGGACAATATAAGCAATGAAAATGATACAATTTCATTTGAATGGACATGAATAAATTGACTTTAGCTGATTGACATTTCTGCTCATCTATCTATAACGAAGCTGAGGCTAATCAAGCATGACAGGTGGCATGTCATTTCGGACATCAGTCAACAATCTTTAATTGAAAATGACGGACGTCACAAAGGACGGACAGGCCAAGCTGTGACACTTAATTTGCGTGCTAGATGATAAGGTTTTACTTTAATGATTTAACTTCGAACTTCATATTTCTTTTTGCTTATAAGGTATGGAAATCTGTATGCACATTGTAAATATGTATACATAAAAAGTAGCTGTATGACAATAGGACCCACATATCTCATGGTTGTCGTTAGTGTGTATCTCTGTGTGTTCTCGTACCCTGACGCCGATCCCTTGATGAAGCAGGTCACCGGGATATAGCTGGAATGTTCGTGACCGCAGCATAGAACAACAAACAAACAAACAAATAAATAAACCACATGTTCAGTTCCATGAAAATTATTAGGTCTATAAGATAAATCATTCTAAAACTAATATGCCTCAGCAGACATCTTGTTTCACACAAGGCACTGAACTGGAAATGGATACTACATTGGACTGTCTACAACGTGTCGCGATGTGGCTGAAATATTGCGGATATGACGTTAAATTTTAACTCACTCACTCACTCCTGTCTTCTAAACGACTGGACAGGCGGTGGCCGATTTCTCGCAGGCTGTGATTTGTCGACACTAAACACAGCATTGATTGGTCCTCGAATAAGTACTTATTGCAGTCAATGAAATAATACTGACCTCGCCAAAATTGGCATCCGAAGCACCTTATGATATTTATCGCCTGTGAGAACTTGAGGTCTTTCTTTATAGTATGATTTCTTTTTTCTTTCCTGTTTTGCATTCTTTCTTTTCTTTACATTCATTTCTTTTCTTTTTACATAAATGTCTTTCTTTTCTTATCTACTGTTATTTTCAGATTGACTGAAATACAAAATAAATAAACAATAATTACTATTTTGATCAAATGATACATTAATGCAAATAATTATAATGACATTATTAATGAATTAACCCAATAAAATTGACTACCTTTTAGTGACATGAAATATACACCATGCAAAAAATAAACAAGCGCAGAAAAACACTTTTTTACCAGATAATTGCTCTAAAACATTTATACACATGTAGAAAATGATAAAATAATATATAACTAATATATTGGCAAACTCGGCATTGTTTTTAGACTCTATTATCTTTAAAAACATTTTCCAATGTCTTTGAGTCTTTCGTGCATGCTGCATGCATTCTGAGGCCACCTTGAAAATAATACACGATTCAAAGCAGTTATGCCCCTTGGCATATTTAAAGGAGTAAACATAAATTTGGAATGGATAAGAAATGAAGTATGAATTAATACTTGCCAAAAACGAAAAATGGTTTACATTTTAAAACAAAAAGAAATATGATTTTGAACTTTGAAAATAATAACTTAACAATTTTTACCCTTACATCGCCCGACTAGAAATGCCCAAACCAACAGTAGAACTAGTTTAAAAGTAAATACGTGTCACCAGTCAACTTTCGATGCGATGCCTGGATTTAGAAATCGGAAGGTCATTTTCCGAACAGGACCTGTCAATAATGACAAAAGATTATATTTTCTCAGATTCTGTCTACTCTGTGCGCAGTAAGCTCCACGGAAACTATGCCACGAGCGAAGTATGGCGATGATTACAAACAAGACTTTGACCCGGAAGTGTATCTTGAGATGTACTACACTGACCTGAAAGGTCAATCGTCGGAGGGAGACATGCTGGAGACGTCCATGCTATTCTGGCAGGAAGCATTCGCTCAAGGTATTGACATCTTGCCCCTGACTGAGTCATGTCATTCGTGGATGCCCAAGTGTGCCAGAGTTACTTCCCCTTAGTGTGCCAGCATCCTATAATGGTGGATTCTAATCCCTAAATCGCCTTGATTATGACTCTTATACAAGTTTGTTAGTATCTGCCCGAGGCAAAGGGTCCTCTGGCCATTTATTTAAATCTAAGTTATGTTTCCAAACTAGGCTTTGATACAGGCTAGTGGACATGCTTGCCTCGGGAAGATGGTTATTACCATGCTCATGTTGGTTTCACCTGTAGTACTTCGGGTTGACCTCCCTCCCTCCCCCACTCACTCACTCACTCGCTCACCCGTGAAGATCCGGGGTAGAAAAGGTCTTCAGCAACCCATGCGTGCCGTTAAATGCGACTATGCTTGTCGTAAGAAGCGACTAACGGGATCGGGTGGTCAGGCTCGCTGACTTGGTTCATGCATGTCATCGATCCCAATTGCGTGGATCGATGCTCATGATGTCAATCCCTGGATTGTCTGGTCCAGACTCGATTATTTTCAGACCGCCGTCATATAGCTGGAATATTGCTGAGTGCGGAGTTAAACAACAAACAAACGAAAAAGTCACTCACTCACTTTCACTCACTCACGGGGCTTCTACTTAATCTTTGAGTGTTACAAATATTTAATACTGAACGTTGGTTTCTTTGATCAGTCACACTTTCCTCATTGCGAACTTCGCCGCCCGTTCGATGTTTCTAGGTCTTTCTTGGTGTCGAGTTAATATATTGCATAACTAAGGTGTGTATCATAGGGTTTTGCCCAGGCATGGCCCGCAACAGGGTTATTGAAACTTTAGCTGTGATGGAATGAGATCCTGACACCGATAAGGGACGCAACTCTGCGAAGCGAAGTGAAATTGACACAGGGTGAAATTCCGTGCCCCCGCGTGAACTTTGTTGACATGCTGACAGAAATAGTATCCAATAACAAACAACAATAGCGGCCAGTTACATTTGACATTATTAAGACATTTAGGACAATACCACATACCCCAAATTCAGGTGGCAACAAAGATGTATGTATCGTAACTGGTGCTACACTGTTTGGGTTCATCGACTTATGGATGAATCCTCACCATCGTGACTTCCTAAGATGTCATAGCTAACGCTTCTCGAACGCGCTACTGCGTCTGTGGAAAAATGTCAATATATCATGAGGGGCGGCGAGGTAGCCGAGTGGTTATAGCGTTGGTTCGTCGCGACGAAAGCCCTAGTTCGATTCCCCACTTAGGTACAATTTGTCGTCATAATGCTTGAATATTGCTAAAAGCGAGGTGAAATACAAGTCTTTCACTCATTCACCTAGGTAACATAACCGGCCGGCGACTGCTCGACATCGGAACTGGCCCCACAATCCACACTGTGATCAGCGCCTCCAACTACTGTGACACCATCTACCTGTCTGACTTGGTTCCCCAGAACAGGGAGACGCTGAGGAAATGGCTGGAGGGGAGTCTTCAGCATAGCTTCAGGATCTTCTTCCAATATGTGGTCGACAGGGACGGGAAAGGGTAACTATTGCTCATTGACTGGCAGATTCCAATATGTGGTCGACAGAGAAGGAAAGGGTAACTATTACTCCTTGACTGGTAGATTCCAATATGTGGTCGACAGGGAAGGGAAAGGGTAACTATTACTCCTTGACTGGTAGATTCCAATATGTTGTCGACAGAGAAGGGAAAGGTCACTATAACTCCTTGACTGGCAGATTCCAATATGTGGTCGACAGAGAAGGAAAGGGTAACTATTACTCCTTGACTGGTAGATTCCAATATGTGGTCGACAGGGAAGGGAAAGGGTAACTATTACTCCTTGACTGGTAGATTCCAATATGTTGTCGACAGAGAAGGGAAAGGTCACTATAACTCCTTGACTGGCAGATTCCAATGTGTGGTCGACAGAGAAGGGAAAGGGTAACTATTACTCCTTGACTGGCAGATTCCAATGTGTGGTCGACAGAGAAGGGAAAGGGTAACTATTACTCCTTGACTGGCAGATTCCAATATGTGGTCGACAGAGAAGGGAAAGGGTAACTATTACTCCTTGACTGGCAGATTCCAATATGTGGTTGACAAGGAAGGGGAAGGTCACTATTACTCCTTGACTGACAGATTCCAATGTGTGGTTGACAAGGAAGGGGAAGGTCACTATTACTCCTTGACTGGCAGATTCCAATGTGTGTCGACAGGGAAGGGAAAGGTCACTATTACTCCTTCACTGGCAGATTCCAATATGCGATCGACAGAGAAGGGGAAGGTTAACTATTACGCCTTGACTGGCAGATTCCAATGTGTGGTCGACAGAGAAGGGAAAGGTTAACTATTACTCCTTGACTGGCAGATTCCAATATGCGATCGACAGAGAAGGGAAAGGGTAACTATTACTCCTTGACTGGCAGATTCACAGATTCACAGATGTGTACAAGATTTTAAGTTCATTCATTGCTACCGTTGTCGTCATTCTTGCTCTACCTTTGTATCGAATGTGACAATTATTGTTAATCTTCACTTCTTTCTAATCATTTTAGATCGTAAGAATACTGAATATTCGCACGTCAGCCAATTTCCATAACAAAAGTGACCACTGTTTGGCCAGAATATGTGTTTCTGGCAAAAACATTATGCTAGTTGTCCTCAAAATATTTGCCGGTTCCTGAATGAATTAACTCGAAGGTCAACATCCTTATGTTAACAAGTATTGGGTCCTACTGGGGATTTCGCTCATCAACATTTGATTCGATTCGTATAAATATATAGTATTAGTATAGATTAGTATAAATATACTCTTCAAAAAAAGAAACTTGACACTGACTTTCAAAATGTAATATAATGCGATTGTTTCAAAATAGGACACAGAAACCATAATTGAAACACTGTTTGAAGATCAATGTACACAATGTTCAAAACATTAATCGTATCACCTAGACAGATACACGTACACGATACAGTTAATGTCAAAGGGGTACAGAAAATGTCAGTATCGGTTGTGCCCACCACGTGCATCAATCACCGCTTGACACCGACGACCCATAGATGCAATCAAGTTGTCAATAACACGCTGTTGGGTGTGCTGCCATTCATGCTGAAGTGCATCAAGAAGCGCCGGGTCGGTGGATTCCTTCTGCGAACGCGTCGATCCAACTCGTCCCACAGATGCTCAATCGGGGACAAATCTGGTGACCGGGCTGGCCAAGGTAATGTCTGGATGTTGTTGTGGTGTAAGAAGTCCTGACAAACACGTGCAATATGCGGTTGAGCGTTGTCCTGCTGGAACTGTCCGCCATGAACGTTGACGTGAGGAAGAACGTAAGGCTGTAGGATCAAGTCTCTGGAACGCACACCTGTCAAAGCACCTGCCACATGCACGAGAGGCGTCCTACCACCGTGATGAATTCCGGCCCATATCATACCCGTGGGGTCAATACATGACGTTGAACAGGTCTTCGTGCAAAAAATCCAGCCTCCCTCAGTCTGTTGCGTACCGTTTGATCTGATATTCTGCGTACCCCAGGGATCTGTGTGGTTGTAGACGTGGCTGTGGTAGTGCGGTCTCGGAGGTGTCGCAGCCGGATGTATCGATCTTGTGCTTGGGTTGTCACCCTTGGTCTTCCTGACCTTGGTCTGTCGTCAACTCTGTTGGTGTTGTTGTATCGGGTCCACAGTGCGGAGATTGTCTGTCTGGATACACCAAAGTGCCTGGCCACTTCTTGCTGAGTTGCTCCAGCTTGTAATCTCCCAATGGCGTTGTTCCGTTGAGCTGCATTCAGTCTTGGCATTCTTTCACCGCCTCTACTGCCGTTATAAGGACTGTATGAACAGCCGTTGATGTGGATTTGTATACCCATTCAGCAGGGGGGCCTGCATGCCTAAATGCAGGATCCTGTGCTACACGTTTTTTACAGGCGGTTGCGTTTGGATGAAGCTGTAAAATTAATCCCCAAACGCTACCTTTATGTGCTTTGCATGTGTTTTCGCGAATTATAGACACATCATCTTTCTGTTTGACTTATTTGGTTCTCATTTAATGTACTTATTTTAGATATTTGGCAAAAAGTGGTTTTACATCTATGTCAAGTTTCCATTTTTGAAGAGTATATAAACAAGGTTAAATATTCAAATCGATTACAGTTAAGAATTTTACCGAGAAAACAATATGTGAAATTCTGGACTTCTGGATAACTTCTATGTAACATTTGGTGTTAAGTCATTTAGGCAAGAAGTAGGCATCCCCCAGGGAACCAATTGTGCTCCCCTTCTTGCGGATCTTTTTCTTTATGTATATGAATTTGGAATTTCTGCTCGGACTGACAAAGTCAGTGCTAGTTAGTTTGGCCAAGACGTTATTCTTCAGGTACATTGATGATCTGATATCATTCAGTGACCATCAAATAGACAATTCCCTTCCACTGATGTACCCACTTGAACTAGACATAAAGGACACCAGTGAGACCGCCTCGCTTGTTCCATATTGAGATTTGTGCTTAGAGATTCAGAGTGACTAAAACTCTCCACTGGACTATGAAATTTAAAGAGAGGTGACTTCAATTATTAAGAGTCAACTTTCCCTTTATGTCGAGCGATATTCCAGCAGCTCCAGTCTTTGGTGTTTACATTTCACAAGTTTTGAGCTACAATCGAGCTCTTTCTACGAAGATTTCAAAGAGCGCCATACGAGTCTTGCTCAAAAGCTGTTTGATCAAGGTCTAAAACCTTCAAAAGGTTCAATGGTGGACATGTGAAAGGCATTTTTCAGATGAACAATTGACTTGCCCTTGTATGTGTTTGTGACGGGGGCCACCGATAGGGCAGGATGCACTCACCTTTTCGCATACACCTTGTATAATCACTATTTGATTATGATTTATAGACACAAGCTCATGATATAGTCGGAATCGTACAATGGACATTTCTTGTGGGTATGGAAAGGGTTTTGTCCCTTTTATGTTGCTGACACACATTCTACTTGAAGTTAATATAACACCATATCGAAATAACCGTTAGGAAAGCAAAATTTGGAATTCGACTATGTGCATGATCAGAAAGTAGTTATGTGTGTTCTCCCCTTGTTGCGAATCAGTGCTTGTTAGTTTGGCCAAGACGTTATTCTTCAGGTACATTGATGATCTGATATCATTCAGTATGTGCATGATCAGAAAGTAGTTATATTTGTGCCAAGACGTTATTCTTCAGGTACATTGATGATCTGATATCATTCAGTATGTGCATGATCAGAAAGTAGTTATATTTGTGCCAAGACGTTATTCTTCAGGTACATTGTTACTTTAATGGAATTAAACAGTAACAAAAATATTTGTCAAACATCTTTGATTATCCAGTGAATCACATTTCACTTCGAATGACACGGCAACACATTCTTTGCTAAGTAAGCGATACGAGAGATAGGCATGGTGACGTCACTTCCGATAGGCAGCTATAGAGTATTTGTCCAAATAGTATGGAACTCTCCCTACAATGTATAATCGATGCCCTAATACCCTAAAATCTCTAAATCAACCTTTCAGAGAACTTCCCAGTGACAGAGAATCCATGTTGAAAGATAAGATTGTGGGGATCTTTTCTCTTGACCTTCTGCAGGTGGAGCCTCTGCTGCCATCACTGTTTCCTACGTTTGATATCATCACTTCGTCATTGTGTATGGAGGTTGCTGCTCCAGATCTCGCCGGCTACGAGATCATAGCGAGAAGTGTAGGAAAACTTCTGAAGGAAGGAGGCCATATTGCTCTCTTTGGAGTTCTTGGGGAATCTTTCTACCAAGTTGGCAGCCACACATTCTACTGCCTCAAGATCAGTGGAGAACAGGTGCAAGATATCTGGAAACGATCCGGATTCAAAATTGTTGGCTGGATGCAAAAATCCTCCCTCGGCCATGATGCTTCATTGTCAGATTTTGAAGGTGTGTTTCACATGGTAGCAAAGAAGAGTCTTTAATGTGGAGCAATACTTCCCACGTTGTCGCAAGTGTCAACGCGCATGTTGACGGGGAATTAGCTCTTGGGGGAATAAAGGACAAAATCGACATCACTGTCCCGGAACGCTTTATGCACAACATGTAAACAATAAACAACAATTGCACAATGAGCGGAATACCTGCTCTGACAACACAAACACAGCGATGAGCGGACCTTCCAGCTCAGGCATGCATGAGGTGAGCGAAGCTCCAGCTCAACCTCAGGGCGTTTCCTACGAGCGGCACATCCTGCTCGAGGTCGTCCCTACACAGTGTAATGGTAGCACATATATAGTAATGAACAACAATGGAAAGACAATGACGTTGCTCTGGACATGGGACTTCGGTGGGGGGGGGGGGGGGGGTTGTGAACAATTAAGGCAATAAATGTCATACTATAAATAACAGTAATTAACGGGAAGTGATAAAGTAGCCCAGGTTGGCTGTCAGTCAATATACAGTGAAATGTTGGTGGGGATTTACAACGGGGATGAAGTTATGGAGACATGGCTACGGGGTAATTTGCCTTTGGAGTGAAATGTACTTCAGACAATGGTAGTCGTAAATCAGTCGCTATGACAACTTCCCTCTGTGCCGTGAAGCTTGGACCCCAAGCTTAAACAAGTACAAATTGATATGTGTGAACTTTTTCACAGACGGAAACAACAGTGCAAAATGTGAACATAATCAGTTAGATGAGTTCAGGATATCGCTGAAATACTTGTGAACATATACCTATCCAATGACGGTATGAAAGTGATCATCTTGCCAGTTTGATTTAGTGCCAGTTTGAAAACTAACCAAGTATTGAACACACAACGATATCCCAAATATAACATTTGTTACATTGACCAAGTATTCTTTGTAATGTGCAATTTCACTACGAGGTAAATACAACTTAGCACAGATTCAATAAATATATCACCGAAGGTTCTTTGAATTCAGGAGTCTGGCTTGGAGGTGCGACTCAGTACCGAATAATGATAATGAGTAATGTAATAAAAAGTACGAATTAAACATCTCAGCAACTATTTCGCATAAAGAAATTTGAAACCAGGAGTCTAACTTATCGCGCGACTCAAACGGTACTTGTGGGTACGTTTGCCCTTTTAAGTACAATGGGTGCTCTTCCCTCCAGCTCAACCTCAGGGCGTTTCCTACGAGCGACACATCCTGCTCGAGGTCGTCCCTACACCAGCACTCGGAATACCAAGCTTGACTAACACCGTAGTAACAGTGTAATGGTAGCACATATATAGTAATGAACAACAATGGAAAGACAATGACGTTGCTCTGGACATGGGACTTCTGGGGGTGGGGGGGGTGGGGGGGCACAATGGTAGTCGTAAATAAGTCGCTATGACACAAGTATAGATAGGTCCTGTAGAAAAACTTGGCCAACTTACGTTTTATTACATTTTGTTTGTTTGTTTGTTGTTTAACGCCACACTCAACAATATTCCAGCTATATGACGGCGGTCTGTAAATAATCAAGTCTGGACCAGACGATCCAGTGATTGGCATCGATCTACACAATTGGGATACGATGACATGAACAAAGTCAGCGAGTCTGACCACCCGATCCCGTGAGTCGCCTCTTACGACAATTTTAACAAGTGATTAAATATCACTTCTTATGGTGCGTCACGCCGTGCATATAACACGGTATGGTAAACCGATAACAGCATAAAAGCACAATGCCGAATCTTGTTATTAATGTTTCCAGCGAGTTTTACTCGACACCAGACATGCCATGCTGAATTTGTCTGTCTTCTCGTCCTGTCGACTTACGACATACTAAATGGCAGTTTCTACACTTTTTTATAAATTCTATGATTCAAGAGGCCATACATATTTGCGTCACGCGCAATGTAGATTTGCTGCGTCCATTCTCAATATGTATGTGAACGCGTTAGAACGCGATCTTTAGCGTCCGGTGAAACCCGAGTGTACCCAAACGTTGTTATTAATAAACCTGCTTTTCTAGCTTTCACATTGTATTCAACAAATACGTCACACAAATGTCTCTTGGAATAAACAGATATTTGAAAGATACGTACATTGAGTTGTCTGATTAAATCGTAAATCCCGAAATAATGTTTAGGGTCGCTGTACATGTATATTGTTAGTAAACATCATAAAGAGTCTGGACCATACAATCCAGTGATTGACATCAATGGCATCGACCATCGCAATTGGGATACGATGACATGCATCAACCAAGTCAGCGAGCCTGACCACCCGATCTCGTTAGTCGCCTCTTACGACAAGCATAGTCACCTTTTACGGCAAGTATGGTTTGCTGAAGACCTATTCTAACCCGGATCTTCACGGATGGATTCAATACAGATGCTGACTACACCTTTGTGAGAATACTCTTTACGACTGCGTTGTTTATTTATCACAAGCTGAGCGACAGTAACGATGTATAGTTTTCATCATATCACCAGGACCGGAGTATTTAAACATTGTTGTCATATCAAAACAGGTATCTTAGACATGATGTGCAAGTAAGCTTGTTCATAGGGTCAAAGCACCACCATGTTGGCGATAACGGCCGCTAACGGTAACTAGAATATTATGTTACGTGCGCATTGAATAGTTTCGTTCTTTTGTTGCTTCCCCTAGACCTCAGACGCAAACTTGACATTCATGGTGACCAATATTCAAAAAGAGCGTTATGACTCATCGATGACATATCATCTGATCTTGACCGTCTTTTGTTTATCAGGAATTAGTTTTCAACTGCTGCACGTTTATAGTTTGATATGTTTGATTAATGATGTATCTTTATGACGAGTCTCACAAATTCCAACCTATAATAAATTTAATAAATAACACTAGTATGTTATTAATGATTTGTCAAAAGACAAGTGTTTGATAGCATTACGTTACCGGTATATGATACAACGCCCTATAATTTAATCACACTTGAGAGAGGGATGTGTCAACAGTTTGAATACATTCATTTGTTTGGTTGTTGCGTGTTTCTTGTCAAACGCTGCACTCAGCAATATTCCAGCTATATGACAGCGGTCTGTAAATAATCGAGCCTGGACCAGAAAATCCAGTGATTTACATCATAAGCATCAATCTACGCAATTGGGATACGATGACATGCATCAACTAAGTCAGCGAGCCTGACCACCCGATCCCGTTAGTGGCACCTTATGCCCCCGTCACACTTATTCGGAATCAGCAGGAATCAAGCAGAACCAGCCGGAGTGAAGAATTTTTAAAATTCGTGCCACATTCGGGAGGGAATTTCAAATTGACCAAGCTTTGTAAGAATGCCGTTCGAATACTTAGAATGATCTTCGAACCCGCCTCGAATGATTCTTGCACATTCCGATCGCGAGTGTATTAACTCGCGAATGCAGCTCAAATGTAGTTGGAACATAGTAGGAATATTTAGAATGCTGTTAGAATGCAGTCAGAATATTTAGAATGCACTTCGAATGCCATACGAGTGCGGTTCGATTGCTTTGTAAGGTGCCTCGAATGCTGTACGAATTCACCTCGAATGCAGTCAGAACGCTCCCGTAACGTCCAAGAATTCAATCAGAATGCAGCTCGAATACTTCGAATGTACTTAGAATGTAACACGAATGTGGCCGATGTAGTTTTTGTATATATTTGTTTTAATTTCATTTTAGGTTTTTACGTATATTTATTATATATAACTAGTTGTCAGTTTCAGTCAGCTATAACAAAGTGTATCTGACCTGTCTTACCTACTAACTGCCCCATGGCCAGAAGCTTCATTTGCTGATTGGCCAAGCTAACACCTATTGTTAAACTGCATGCTTTGATGACACTGCATACTCTCTCAGCACATGAACTGACAGAACTGCTCAGACCAGCAAAGGATAAAGAGATAATATTAAATCAGGTGAGTTAAATAGTTATAATCTCTGTCCTGTGTTGTATTGACATAATACAGTATGTTTAAAGTGTTATATGAAGTAAACTAAATGTATGTAATCTAACATGAATGTTGATTATGTCTAAATATTTAAATCTGCATCAGATAAGCTAAACACCCATACTTTATCACTTAAATGTATTCTATCACTTCAATGAAATATGTGTGAAAGTGTTTTACTTCAAGAGTGTTTTAAAATGCTTTGTAATGTACAGATTCAGAGGTGATACATGCAAATCATTGTAAACAAAATGTGTATATTACTTTGTTCAATATATTAAATGTTAAATAGTGTTTTAGTCTATGTATTGTTTATTCAGATCATCTATGGTGTTGCCATACGTGTGGCAGTTGGGACCCACACCCTTGTATCACCCACAGGGTATGCATTGTATTATTTATATTTGTCTAAGACTTAAGATGAAATGCAATTGTGATGACCACATTTAATATAATATTATAATATCATTCATTTCTGTCTGAAATTATTGTATATGTTTATACAGAATGTGTAAGCGTTATTGTGTATAGTCTGGAAGTTAATTTAAGGTACCGACGTTTACTACAATATCTGAAAAACTATCGGACCTACTCCAGTCAAAGTTGGTATGAGATTATTAAACAGTCATACATAACTGGATATTACATTTAAAGACAATCGGTGCATGAATAAAAAATCTGTCTATTTAGCTATCACTATAGTTCATCAACAACCAGACCTGTTCGTCACGGGTGGAACGAGCATTCATTGTAACAGCCATCTGCATAATGCTACCCCTGCGTCACAGGGCCATATGACACAGTTGAACCAATCAACTCAACTGGAAAGGTTGAACGGGAATCACGCACGCACGAATACGGTGTTAGCGTTGGGCGTCTCAAGCAGTTATTTAATAATATTTATCCTATTATTTTTGCATTTTTTTTTAGGTCAGTGTTATTGACTTGAATGTGTCATTCCTTGCCACATTATTATAATTCATGCATCATGTTATTAGGTGTAATATATCATACGTAATTATTCATTTAGACAAATCATTGCTTAATGGTTTCGAAGAAAATATTTTGATATTTTCGTAGATGATTCGAGACTTTCGGGGCTGTTTCGGGTGAAAGAGAATCAAATTCTGAGCCAAGAATTGCACAAAGTGGACAAGATCCGATTACGACATGTACTACAAAGCACGAACCTGAAATCGGTACACGATTCCTAGAAATTCTTTGATAAACAAATTTTTCTCACAAATCCCACGAACTACAAGAATGTTTGGGAATCAAATCAGATATATTTAAGATTCTTTAGAAATGATTAAAAATATGTACGAATATGTAAGAATTCATATCCGTGGTAATTCG